AAAGAAAAGGAGAAAAAAGGAACAGGGAAGCAAACAATATGCATAAACTAAAGAGTCTAAAATAAAGGCTTCAAAAAAAGCAATGGAAAGAAAAAGGCTTTATGTAATATATGTCAGTATATGTACTGTATCTATGAAAATCGGACTTTATTTAGCGCTGAACGGATTTAAAAAAAAAGAGTAAATAACTACTTTGAAGACATTAACTTACATTACAGACGGAAATACTGCATATGCCCAAAGTATAGCATTAGAGGTTATGACGACTACCAGCGCCTCATTCATGTGGAGCAGACTGACGAGTGGAGCACTTAACTGGGGGGGGGAAGGGGAGAGGGGTTGGTGTAGTAATATTCATAAGCGCAAATGGCCTGCAGTGCATTGATTAACACTGCAATGGTGAGGCCATTTGTTGAATAGAGAAGTCCTTCCATCGGCCGCCGCTACTTTGGTTTGGTGAGCACTTCTCTGTGCGCAGATGTTGTGTCCTGTTGTGTGACAGGCTTTCAGTATTCTAGGTCAGCTCTGCCATGCTCCAGTGTGACTCAGGAATAAAGTGGCATGCACAGGGAGGGGAAAGGCAAAAATAGAGGTAAGGCCACCAGGAGCCGAGGCTCTGACAAAGCCTCAGACATGTGTGTCGCCTGACCTGAATACCCAAAAGCTCCTGGTCGTCCAAGGTAGACCCCACACAAGTCATGTTGAAGTACCCCCGTTGCTCTCATATCTACGGCATCTTTGCTATTTTTTTTTTTTTTTTCCATTGAAAACAACTGCTGAGATGATGAAATTTGTTTTGCTCTCAATCTAAAACGCTGAACTTAAAGCTGTGCGGGGATGTTAATAAAAAACAAGGCCGTTTTTTTTTTTTTCTTCAATAAATGTCAGTAACGAAAGGATGTTCAACGTCTTTACTAACCACTAATGTTGTCGAGTTTCTTTCCCCCTTTTTTTTTAACTCTGGCTGCTGTATTGTTTCCTGGGATTTTTTTTTCTTCTTCTTCTTCTATTTCCTTTTAAATTACTCACTCTACGGTGAGTTTTGGATCAATAAATGTCTTCATTAGAAGGTTACAAGGAATTACCGAAGCGTGGACCTTATCATCGTCGTCATCATCATCATCATCATCACCATCACCCATCACAATTATCACCACCAACCATTACTTCCCGCAAGTTTGTTTTCCCTTCCGGAAAGCAGTGACGGCAGCTCAACGTGACCGTGATTACGCTCTGCAGTGAACTGCCAGCAACAAATCAGTTTATTTCCCACAATAAAAGGTGCAGAAGAAATAATTACTCTGTGAAAATGTGTTTGTCTGCAGCTCCCGTATCGTCTGTTATCATCCGCAACACAAAGCCAAACGCAGGAACCATTTGGGGAGATACTTGATCTGTTGCGCGAAATTGCTAATTTTTCCTCTTCATTTTAACGGAAACAATTGCAATTTTCCCTCACAGACGTACAGACTTATGCAACGCCTTTTTATTTATTTTTTTTTTCGTTATTTTCGTCTTTCTGTTGCTTCGCTTAGTTAGGTTCCCAGAACAGCGAATCAACAGATTTTTTTCAAATTTTTTTTTTTTTAACATTATTGCCATTCAGTCATGTAAAATTTCTTTTTTTTTTAACATTATTGCCATTTCCAATGCAACCTTTCCCATTTATACAGATTTGCGAGCAGCAAAGGAAACACACACACACGCGCGGTGGATCCCCAGGGACTAGGAATGATGTGTATGTTGGAGCCACAGTGAACAAGGCTGCTCACTGGGGAACTATTTTTACTTTATTTCCTGAAGGTTTATTAAGCCTGAACTGCAATTTTTAATTCAATGTTCTGTATACGCTCCTATAGATTACAATGAGGACTTTTTTTTTTTTTTAACTTGCCTGCAACTCAATAAGCCTTTGATCCTGTAAACGAATAATAAAAGAAACCGCCTTTATGGTAGCAAGAAAAGTCACGTCCTCTTGCCCCGGCTTTTGAGGAGGAATTTTTTAAAAAAATACGGAGAAAAGACGAGGGAAAGAATATTTCAAATCGGAAGCGCTTCACGGTGTCAGAACAGTCCAAACTAAGTATCAGTCACCACAGAGAAGTTGTCTGTGTGAGTAGAAGGATGGGGAGAGGCTTATAACACAAAGAACACCATCCCCGCAGTGATATTATCGGCCCGGTAATTAGCATAATTATTTATTATCTGTAAGAATCGTTATCTTTTTTTTCCTCCGATAATGGTAACCTGATAACGCAATGCCTGGATTTCGTCAAATGACGTGTGCCCTAAAAATTGTTTTAGGGATAAAGGGCTGTATATGTATATGAAAGTCACTAGATGGCAGCATTGCAGCTCATTCAGGGGTTTGACTGCAGAACGCTGATGCCAGCAACTCATACAGTGGTTTGTACAGATAAGTAAATAAATAACCAGGCCTTTATCGGTATCGCTTGATATCGGAATCGTAAAATTGTTTGGGCATAATATTGGCCATCCCTAGATTTGAGAATACTACAGTGCATCCGGAAGGATATAAGAAAGTATGACAAAATTAATAGATTTTTCAAAATGTCCACGAAGCAAATGGAAAGTGCTAGAGATTAACTGCAGCGTCAGAAGATGAAAGTCAAATTTAGTGCAAAGTTCCTATTAAAATTCTGGAAATTTAAGTACAGGGTACTACATGCCAGCCAAGCGTCTACTCCGGAGAAGCGTTGGAGATACGCCAAAGTTATGAATGTGCTGGAATATTTCAGGGGAATTGTCCCAAACATGCAGAACAAATACATCAAATGACTGCAGCTTGTAATAAATAATAATTAAAAAAACCAAACAATCGTGACAATCTGAGGGAATACATCTTGTCCAAATAAAGACAATCGTGACAATTTGAGGGAATACATCTTGTCCAAATAAAGCAATCGTGACAATCTGAGGGTACACATCTTCCAGTGAAATGATTTAGTACAAGGACTTCATGAGTTTTTTTTTTGTGTATTATAGTAGACTATAAACTGAGACTATTTTGAATATTTTGTAGGTTTGGTTCGTGCCAAACAGAGACCGGGATCGAACCCCCCGACGTTCCACGGGAAGGCAACTAAACCCACTGACACTCTACACAGCTACTGTACTTCCAATCGTGAGACAACGCGCTGTTGTCATTCCTGTCTCGTGATCACTTTGTCACGGTGCATAGCGAGGCAACAGGGATATTTATGTCGCGGGCACAAGGATGTCTCAGTCATGTCAGGACCTTTCACATCATCATCATCATCTCCCTCTGAACAGGTCTTCCCGACTCTGTCTCTCCTTTGCTCTGGTCTCTTTGAAATTCCACAGATGGGCGGAATGATCGAGGGCGAGAATGATCAAAATGGGCTGCTGTCATCCTGAAGCTCAGCAGGCAGTTGAGCAGCGAAGGAGAGGGGGAGGAGGTGAGAATGAGAATGAGTCAAACGAGAGATGACAGGGAATTTAAATTGAGAGGAGAAGGAGAAGAAGAAGAAGAAGAAGAAGTAGCAAGGAAACTGACGAGAAGGAGAAGAAACAAAGAAAAGCTGACTGCTGGTTAAGATAGCGTGGGGAGAATTTTTTCCAGAGTTTTCAGATGAAGAAAAAGAAGCAGCGAGGACGGAGATGGAAAACCAAAGGAATGTGGAGGGGAAGCAGGGGGAGAGTATGGAACTTTTCAATTACAGCACACGGTGAAAACAAAGACTCATCCAGACTGCAGCCCGGAGGGAACATTATATTTAACCTCATTCTTTTACCCAGTACTTCCTTCATGCAAATTACGACTCGCAGTCCTTCATCTGCCGCTTAGCAAACACGGGCTTCTTATCGCGACAGATGTCCCGAATTCCAGGGGAGAAAGGAAACCTGGCTTCGCTAACGTTGTCGACACCACTGACGCCGACTCCAGCTATTGAGCCTTTGAAGATGTGACCCTGCCATCACTGAACCGGCCATTTATTTGAGCTTATGTGCTCTGGCTATACTGCAGCTAGAGCCAAAAATAGGGAACCCATATGGATCGCCGCGGCGACGACAACAGAAACTCTTAGACCATTTAGACCAGGGGCGTCGAACTCAATTTGCGTCACGGGCCGCGTAATAACTAATTAGACGTCAAGTGGGCCGGACCAGTACAATCATTACCCTAATTAACTAGGTTATGATTGCAAGTATATTAAATATGTATTATTATTTATATTTCATAAATATAACTGTTTCAAACATTTCCGAGCGGGCCGGATTAAACAACCCAGCGGGCCGGGTTTTGGCCCCCATGCCGTATGTTTGACAGCCCTGATTTAGACTTTGAGACGTTTGTCACTCAGATAACATGATAATGTATGACAGGAAATCAGACTCACCCAGGATTTGCAGGTGCTACGGCCCAAACATCAGGCAACAGTTCCCTTGGAATGTTCAACTGTATTTTCCCCCACGGCTCGCATCCTAGAAGTGACAGAAGAGAAGAGTTTAATTAGAGATTTGTTTGCTGCACCTGTCAACCTCTATACACACAGGCTGCAGCCACATCAGCAGGCTGCGGTGACTCATACATGGTATTTGTTGGTAAAAGTGACTCAGGTCTGATTTTTTTTTTTCTTTTTGTCACTCTGGCCATGAAAATTAAAACAATGTTTTTTTTGCAGGGAAGAAAGAGTATTGTTTTATTGCTGGAGTTTATTTGTTCTTGTATAATAAGTTTCAAGAACATTTCAGATGGGAAATTTTGCTGGCCTGTATTTAAACTAAGCAATTTGTAGTTTTTACTTTTTTTTAGAGGATACTTCTTTCTTTCTGGACTTTAAGTCACATCAGAGAAGAAAACATATAAAAGTCACACCAGTGCCCTCTAGCGGCTGTCAGTGTGAAAATAACGAACATGTAAATTTTCAGTGGTACAGGAGTAGCAGATACTGGGATACAAGCCTAGAGTGCCCTCTAGTGGCTGTCAGTGTGAAAATCATAAATATGCGAAATTATATATTTCAATATATAAATCGCATCTGAGTGTAAGTCGCAAACTGGGCCGAAGAATGAAAAAAGTGCGACGTATAGTTTGTTGCATGTGCGACGTATAGTTTGTTGCATGTTTTCTTACTTTACTTAACGTTACGTACAACGAGTACCATTTTTGTCGAGACTCTTTTAACCAACTCTGCGTGTTCATTTGATTGGCTAAAACACGAATAAGGTGCTACACGGTGTTTTTAATTATAACGCACTACTGCTAAGCTCACTAAAGCTCCGCTCACTTTCTGTGCCGTTAAAGCCCAGCAGGTGAAAGGGTTCATGGTTCAGTACTACAGTACTACTAAGATTATTATTAATGTGTACACAAATGAAAAAAAAAACGGTTCGTTTTGTAAAACATAGTCGTGAAACAACTTTTTTTTTTAAGTTGAGCATCCACAAATAAATGAAGCTTATTTAGGCTAACTGGCAGATTTTCTTTGACAACGTTTTTTTTCATTTCAAAAAAAAGAACTGCAGGAGCACAGTACAAGTACACTGAGTGGGGCAGCATTAATTGCCTGCTTATATGTTTCTGACTGGTAAGCAAAACAAAATATATTTTCATTTCTTTCTGTGGAAAGTGTTACGTTACATTACAAACCAAAGAGATTCGTACCGGAGAAGAGGGAAAGGAAGAGAATTTTTTGTTTTCTTCTTAACAGTAAACAAGTACTACTCTATCCTCTCCCCTCAAGTCAGATACTGCCTCCTCTGCAATTTTCTCCCTGGAGCTGCGATCGAAGAGTCTTTATGAATGTTAATCAAACGCATCTGTATTGAATCACACAATGAACGCCGTTCTACAAACACATGTCACACGTGGACAGATCTACATCTCTGGAGTCGGCATCAAGAGGTTTTAATCGAGAGGATGGACTCCACACCTGCTCTCCCATCACTGACAAAGCGGCTCCTAAATACTTGAGTGCGGGTCAATCTCCCATTAGAGGTGACACGGCAGGTACAGTCAAACCGTAGGGAGGTGGAGGGGTACGTTAGTGAACTTTAATTCCATCAGCCAAGAAACCTTGTTCTGGGATAATGGCCCGTGATTTGTGCACACAGGAAAATGCTAGCAGAAAACATTATGGAAATACACTGGCTGGATAATCAGCCTATTACCAAACTCTGCCTTTAACACCTTAAATGTGCTTTTTTTTTTTTTTTTCCTGGGGAGAGTGGGTGATAATGAGGATGAATTATTTGGAGGTAATGGTTAATGATCAACAGTGGAAAGCCCCCCTCCCCCCTCCCCATCCTCACCAGGAGGCACTCGCTCGACCTCGGCTTTCTCACTTGGAGAGAAAAGAAGTGTGTGTGTTGCAGCAGGCGCTCATTCACCCAGCTGCTCACTCACTCAGCACACAGACAGACAGACAGAGAGGAGGTGGCGTTCGGACGGTCACCGCGTACGCCAATTCATGGGAAGTACGGAGGAATGACACGGGCGATGAAGGAGTCTACATGTTTGCATCCAAAGGGTACGGGATTATTCTGAGGGTTTGCGGGCAGCTTCGTCAGAGTAAAGTCAACTCATCTGTCGTTCGTCGTTGTTGCTGCCGCCGCTGCTGCTGCTGCTGCTGCTGCAACTTCTCACTGCGTGCAGAGCTTTCGGATGCTGCCGGATGGGTGATGCCTGAGCACTGATCCAAAAACAAAGTTAACGAGTGCGCATAAGAAATGGCGTCCATTTGGAGTGAGGTGGTTTGATCGTATCACGTGAAGAGACTGATTCGTCTTAAGAGCGCGCCTCTGGTATGGTCAAGTGTGTTCCCTTTGCGCACTTTTTACGCATTGCACTGGCGACAATTGCGCATTCTTAAGTCGCTTACGCTATTTCAGCGTCCCAAGTCGGTGCGCCACGCTACTTTGACAGCCAAAATATCTATTCAGCATGTAAGTGCCCTCCTCCTCCTCTTCCTCTTCATCCTCATCCTCATCCTCCTTCTCGTGCCAGTTGGGGGAGAATGTGGAGTCTCTGGATGCAGCATGAGCTGTCAGAGGATCCGTCATAAGCGGCTGTCTCTGCTATGGGAGGGGGTAGCATTCACCCTCTGGCTGTGCTGCTGCTGCCGGACCTCCGGGGTCGAAGCTGCCGCCGCCCCTGGAGCCGCAGCCACAGCTTCCTCCACCACCAGCGCCGGACAAAGCGACGACGTTGCGGGGACCCTGAGCTGGCTCCTGTCGGACAAAGGGCCCTTCCATCAGTCATTTGAGTTCACGGAGGCGTCAGAGAGATACCAGCAGGGTTACACCACCAGATACAAGATCTACAGGTGAGACGCACGCCACTCTGTTCACCTGAGACCCCCCCCCCCCCCGGTGGTCACTTTGGTGGGTTACACCTATCCCACTAAGGCAAACTTCATGGGTGTAAACTTGAGACAAATTGCTGGAAATAATTCGATTAAAGATGGTAGGGGTGCTGATCTTTTGGAATCTTCCTCTGTAGAAAACCTTGTCTGGGGTTTACAGTTCCCGTGGAAACTCCAAGCTAGGGAAAAGATTGAGAAAATGTTGTGTGACGTAATGGGTTTAAAGTTGTCGTAAGAGCAAAAATGCGAAACATCTGAACTGGAAATGGCGTTGGCATTTTCTAGACCGAGTTCCCAACTACCGGTCCAGGGACTGGGGGCGGTCCGTAGGTCCTCAGGTACCGGGCCGCAGTGGGACAGTGAAGTCTAAAAAAAATGGTTTTAAGAAAATTTAATGATCCTTCAACGATGGCATGGTATGACCGGCCGACCTGGTACAAAAAAGGTTAGGGACCGCTGCGATGGAATACCTTTTAAGATGGAGTTGAAATGGAGATTTATGTTCAGTTGTGATGCTTTTTTTTTCAAAATCAAATATATATATAAGTGTATATAAGAAATCAAATTAAAAAATATACATTTTTCGAAAGGATGGGCGGTACTATGAGAGAGGGAGGAGAGAGAAGGAGAGAGGATGCCTTCCAACCACAGGTTGCCTTCCAACAGTATAAATAATAATGATTGTAGTAATAACAACACACTCTCACCGTCCACCTCTTCGGGTTGTTTGGTGTCAGTAATAAAGTGGCCACATGACCTGCTGCCGCTGCGGGGCTTGACACGGTGTGCACTCAGGGATGGATTCCCGCAGACCTTGGTTGTCAAGAACGATGATTAGAGCGGCTGTTGCCTCTCCATCATCCGCAAACACGCGTATCATCATTCTCCTCTGACCTCTGCCATCAATGTTGTATTTTTTTGTCCCCACCTACTGTTCACTGAATATTACATTCTTCAAATAGTGTTTGTTTTTTAAAAAAATAAACTCAGGAACACCAACAGCAACACAACATCATCATCCTGGTCTAAGTTTTACTGGTAGAGACTTATATTAGCGTTTGGATCGACGGCCCAGTCCTCGCCCCCGGGGGGGGGGGGTTTGCAGGTGTATCGTTTAATCCAAATATACCACTGAATAATTTCACTGATGAGCACTCAAAGCTCAGGAACTAATCAGAAAAAGCAGATGCCGGGGAGTAAGGAATGAAAACCTCAGGATTGGCCTCACAGGTATCACACCTGCACCACATTAGTCACAAGCTGTTGAGCAAATCTGAAATAACCACTGCAGCGAAGCCGAACTCACTCGCAGTGTGTACTATGTTTGAACGCTGACGTGTCATCTGAGCAGTCCTGAGACATTACTCAGTGATTTAACAGGCAAGGAGTGGCACGTAAAAAAAAAAATAAAAAATTCCGTCTTTTTAACATGGCGCCCGAGAGGACGGCGAAGAAAAAATGGATAAAATTACATAAATGCAAAAACAAAAAAAAAAATGTTTGGATTTGCTGAAGGGCTTATTAAAATAAATGAGCGGCTAAGTCATTCATGCACATTAAAGGAGCAATAATAATGACAACAAAAAAAAAGAAGAAGCAATAATCATGACTCTTGTTTGCTAACAGCAAAACAAAACTCTAACTGGCAGCGCTGTTTAATTTCGCTGAGTGCAAACGGGGTAATTGAGGGTTCATTTGGTTCCAAGAGCGCTCCCTGGTGGAGCATTTGGGTACCCAATTAAGACAATTGGTTTCAATCTGGGCTTGACGGACGAGAACCTAAGGTACACAGACATCATTTCAAAGTCAGTTAAAAAAAACACAAAATCATTTGTCTCCCATTTTCTACCTTTTTCTACCAACAGCTTCTGTAGCAACCAGCGCTGCCCTCCTTCAAAAAAAAGCATTTGATTGGAGCCGGCCTGTACAGCCCATCTATGTGACTTTCTGATCTATAATTTTGTAACACATAATACATTTGCTGTGGAGTGAACGACTAAATCCACCGAATCGCGCTTCAATTACTCTTAGAGAAAGAAACATTTACTGTGTGTTTTAGGGACAAAGGTTTTTAATGGATGTCCCTGAAAGCCAGGGTTTTCAGAGCCAGACCCTGCTGTCCAGCTGGAGCCAAACCTGGAGCCAAAACTGCATTTCTGGATGGTTTTAAAAATAAGACGTGTACAGAGAGACCCATCTTTTATAGTTATTACACAGTCTGTAGGTCAAATATTTAGATAGGGGCCTTATTACCACCAAAATGTCCCCAAAACTAGAGCAGTGGTTTTCAAAGTGAGGGTCACAGCCCACCGGGGGTCACCAGAGGGGGGGAAAATTGCAGGGATGACAAGAAGAAAAAAAAAAATTATATATTTTTTAATCGAACCGAACAACGCGTAAACCGCCCTAATTGTTGGATTTCCGATGGCACGTGAACACGCTCCTCAAGCTATCGTGTAGCTAGCTAACGAGCGCAAAATGGACAGGTTCGTGGGGTTAATAATTTTCGAATGCTAAACAACTGTTCAATCATGATCAAAAGAGTGAATAAAAGTAAGTAATATTTTGTTGCGTTGTCCGTGGGTTGGCCCGAGGTAGTCGCTAGCCTGAAGCTAATTCTGTTTGGGATTTCCTGGACTAGCATACATCCATGTGGTTTTCCACGCTCACGTATCAGTTCCCACACTCCGTAGCTCTACTTAACCGCTGTCGTATCAGTCAGAAATAATCCTCATAAGGCTCTTTATTTTCACGCAGCGTTTCATCACTGAAGTGACAGCCCGCAGTTTTTCACTCAAACAAACAGGTCTCAGTTCAGATATAGCTGGAGATACACTGCACCGTCTGAGACGTCTGTGCCGTCCCTGCAGTCGTCTGTGGTTTATCGATGCCACCGGCCTGTAGCATTACGTTTCTGTCTGTGTTGGGTCTTGCCGAGGATAAACAATCTGTTGTTTGGTGCCAAAGATCTTTTTAGAGGGCGGTGTTTATCTCCTGAGTGACTCCTCCATTACTCCGGTAGCTTCTGTCAGTGTCCATATAGTGACCCTCCTCCCGATCTGGCATTTTGTGTATCGCTTTGAAATGATAATGAACTTCTTTCGTAACTCTCCGTCTTGTCGTAACTGACAGCTGAGACTCGGCTATACAGCTGGGTGTCCGTAGGCGGGGTTGGCCACGTTCCGATTCGAAACTTTGCTAGTTTCACTGCCAGTGTGTTCCTGGGCAGGAGCATTTTTGGCAAGTTGCTTCCTGGCAGCCGGTGGAAAGATATAAAGGATATATGATAGAGAAGTGCTCAAATAGATGCACTTTAAGAGCGTGATTGAGTGGCTGTGGGGAAATAAGTGAAATGTTTTAAGTAATTAGCAAAACTAGCTTGATGATATACAATTGGTATATACCGTAGGTACGCACCATAGTCATTTTTCTTCCATCCAAGTACTGTAGCTTTAACCATATATGCATTTAATTTGCAACGTCAATAATAATATGTGTAGTAAAGTTTGGCTGATTTTAAGACGCTAAATTTCACAATTTGTCTGGCTACACGTAGGTTTAAGAGGTCTATTGTTTTCACGGAGCTGTTAAACAGCCTGCAGTCTCAAATTGCCGTTCTGCCCTTTTGACCTCTATAATCGCTGTACTACCGCCATGAACTTCACGCGGCTATAACTCATTCAGCGCGCGCGCGCCTGTGTGTGCGAGCCGTCTGTTCGTCTTTAACAGCCGTTCAGGTTTCCTTCTCACCAACCGTATGCTGTTGCTTTTACACTACCAGTGTAAACCTGCGCGTGCGACCGCTCTATCAAAAGACCGGAGTGAACGTCTGGCAGAATTCTGATAACATAGCTGTGAGCCAAGCCCCGGGGCTGTATTCCTAGTGCCATCAGTCCACCGGGGAAGGACACAGAGGCTGTCCCCTAGTTACAATGATTGGCTGTAATGACACACTCTTCACCGGGTTCCGTTCCCCAATTATTTCCTTGTCGATCGTTTCTCTCCTGGCAGTTATTTGATTGCCTCCCAGAAGTCGAGTTATGCACACAGAGGGCAGCAGGCGGTACTGTAGGAGAAGTACATATCAGCTGATATATGGAACAATGAAAACGGAGAGAGAGAGAGGGAGGCTTTCAACTCGGAACAACGGGTGAGAGTGCTGTCTGAAGGGCACACGCACAAAAGAGATTTGGTCTGAGGATGTGGAATTTTATTTGCGCTTTGTGCTTTTGTACTGCAATATGTTCTCTTCGTCTCACTTAATAGGTCTTAAAAGTTGACAAAATCAGTCGAATATAAATATGAACCTCGCCTATATGTACATATATACACATATATGCAGTGGACCCCCGAGATACGGGTTCTACAACAGCGATCGTGTCTCGATTCACTCGTATCTAGATCGACATTTATCCCCATTAAAAATAACTTAAAAAGAGAGAGAATTTCCGAGTTAAATCATCTTTTAAAACTCACCCAATTATAAATCACAGTGATTGTCAACTGGCAAAAAAAGTTGTGGGCCTAATCCCACCCCCCGGGATCGTCCAATCGAACGAAACGAAGAGCTTTTCCACTGTACATGGCTACAGGTGTGGCCCGAGGCTAGTCCATATTCCTTTGAATGTGATCTCTGTAACACCATGTCGTAATACCGTCAGAACCAGCATCGTACAAAAGACTCAAAAATGATATAAACAGTGATTGGTGCTAGTGCTAGCACTATACCTGTATATTGCTTAGCATTTTATATAAAGACGTGTATGATTAGTCGTAGATTTAAAAGAAAAAGGACGGCTTGGTTATGAATGGTACATTCAAATCTAAAAAGCTGAAATAACTAGGTTTAATAGACAAATCAATATTACACAGTAGCCTTGGCCTTGTCTCCAGCGTATGCACAGTTTAACTGCAGTATAAAGATGTTTATCCCCTTTGAGTACACACATATATATATATATATTTATATATATATTTATATATAAAAACCCTGCCTCAAACAAAACTGAAGTAGAGATATGAAAAGATTTGAAAGAAAAGATAATCTCACCGAAAAAGTCAATAATAATAAAAATAAATAATAACCAAAGATGTTTCTATTTATGGATGAAAACACTGACTGATAGAATTCAATAAAATTGCACCGAGTCCGAGACCTAATTCTCGAGGGGTAGCGCAGCAACTTCAGCTGAGTAAGAAAAACAGCGCCTCTTCTTCCATGAAGTGTTTTTTTTTTTGATATGCAAAAAACCATACAGTCCAAACTGCACTCACTGGAAAAAAAAAAGTTTTTCAAAAGATATGACCTTCAAAAATATCTAGAGACTGGCTGGAAGGCTGTCATTAAAGTATGAAGGAGCAAACAAAGAGAAGTGAATTCCACCCAGGTGCTAGAATTCATTTTTATAAATAACATTAGAGCCATCGTAGGTGGAACATTATGACTGATGTCATTAATTTGACATTGTGCCAAAGGGACTCGATCCATTACTGGACGCTGCCTTGATTACAGTAAGAGTCAGCACCGGGGTTGCGGTTTTGGAAAATTATTGATAATTGAAAGTAAAAGACTGATTGTCGCCGAGCAACAGCCATTTTGTCGTATATAGCATAACGCAAAGAGCTAGCAAAGAGCAGAGAGTCCCGGATTCGATTCCCAGAAAAACTACTTGGCCTTGATAACGCCTCCCGTGGCAGCCGTTAGCCTGTGAGTCGCAACCGGGTACTAAATGGCGCCCTCCTGTGGCAGCCTGTGTCAATTACAACAAAAAAGACAAAAAATGTTCCCATTGTGGAACAAATATGGGATTATTAATATTATTAGTAGTAATATTTAGATGTTCCCATTATGGAACGAATATGGGATTATTAATATTATTTGTAGTAATATTTACTATGCTACTTGCAATCTCTGACTGTTGAAAATATTACTATTCTACTCTACAATATCTGACTGTTGAAAAGGTTAACATTTAAAAAAGCTAATATCTATAAAAGTAGAATTGTGAGTGTGTGTGTGAATGTGGATTTTTTTTCTAGTGCATTAACACAAAGAGGCGAAGGTCAGGCTAATTAAGGAGATAGTTCAGTTAATGAAAGGGGGAGTAGCAGCCTCCAATGTTTTGATACGGTGAATTTTCATTCGTTCTTGAATCCGTTTTCAAAATCTCACATCTCGCACAACCTCATCGATCTGAAACCCACACTCATCTTGTACCGCCTTGGTAGTTATAACTGCAAAATATTCATCAGAACACGTTATGTCAACGTCTGTGTGTGCGCGCGCGATCGGTAACAAAACGTTGTGTGTTTGTGTCCAACGCCAGGGAGTTTGGTCGATGGAAGGTCAACAGCCTGGCACTGGAGAAGGCGGACAGCTTCGGTGGCAGCGGCGTTCTGGCTCCACCCCTCGACCCTGACTTTGTTCACACCATCCGCCAGCTGGGGAGGCGTCCAGCTCTCCAGGCCATTACGGAGAATCTCATCAAGAAATACGGCACACACCTCCTCCTATCTGCCACTCTGGGAGGTACAGCAAATATTTCGTTAACCTAAAATATGGTTTCGATTTGCAAAGAATCAGCTGTACATGTATTTTAATATGTATATATTTTGGAACAAAAAGCAGCTAAGAACTGAAAAAAAAACAGCTTGTACCAGTTGTTGCAAGTTTGGAATTGATGCTGTTATTTCCTTTGACAGACGCAACCAACACGCAACATAGACACATGTAATTATGATGCAACATCTCTCTCTCTCTCAGTTCTCCTGCTCTGCCTCTTAGACTTTCAGATTATGGGTGACAAAACAAAAGGGAAGCTGGTTAAACTTTCCGAATCCACTGGTTTCTCCTGTTTCCAGCACTTATCAGTAACATCTTCGGCTGCGTCTCAATCCGACTGCGGCTATATTTGAAGACAATTGCATCACGTTGCTATAATAATTCTGTCCCATTTCAAAGGCTCCCCTTGAAAAAAGCTTCTTTTTTTTCCCCCTTTCCCCCGGCAACAGTGGCAATCGTGGGGCAATCTGGTGAAATGACAGAGCAACCTTCTGCACAATGCATTTAGTTCCTGTAGTTGAAAAACCATGTCCATAAATATGGCTTTTGTCAAATTCAATGTGTAATAAAAACAAGATAGATGCTCAAAATGATGCTCTAACTTTCATGGAAGAATATAGAATAAAGAATATATCCTTTGGAGCCCTCACTGGGCAAAAAAGGTACTGCAGCCATCCTCAAAATACAGTTGGATTAAAATGGGAAAAGTCAATATCAAATGTCAACTCTAACAGCCCGTCCGTCGCATTATCTTGGTGTTTTAAGACTATGTGTTATCTAACTATATTACGATAAATATTACGATAAATATTACGATAAAAAAAAATTCAGTTTGTGCTTACAAAAATTTATTTTGAATTTTTTAAGAATTAATAATGAAAAAAATTTAGTTTGTACTTAAAAAAATGTATTTTGAATTTTTTAAGAATTAATAATTGGCCCAAAATGTGGACACATTTTTTTATGTAATAAAAAACTTCTCAGATTTAACATGAGAGATTTTCAAGTGTATGAAGGTTTTCTTTTTTGGCAAAAGTAATTAAATAGATGGAAAAAGTATTATTAACCACTGTTTGAACATATATCTGCGGGGAGTCTCAACAGACGGAAACCCAATTGGTTCATTTCTTTCATCCAATCAGCCAAACACGGAGTTGCTCCTAATTGCCATTAACACTTCTGTGATTTCATATCAGATCTGCAATCACACTAATAACACTGCTGCTGCGTCTCCGTCTAACAACGCTCCCCTTTTCCCCGTGCCTTATCACCAGGGGAGGAGTCTCTGACCATATTCGTAGACAAAAGAAGACTCAGCCAGGAGTCTTCGACGCTCTCCGGAGCTGAGGGCAGTCAAGGCAGTGACAGGAGTTCCAACAATACAGGAGCAGCCACTCTGGAAGCCCTTCACCAACTGGCCGCCTCCTACTTCACAGACAGAGAAAGCACACTACGCCGGCTGCACCACCTGCAGATCGCGTCCACCGCCATACGGGTACGTGGTCATCAAAGGGTTGTAAACCTTTGAAAGATTAATAACCTCCAGCAGCTAAACAGGGGGATGGATGGATGAAGAAAAAATTAGCGTTTTAAATTTAAACATATGAGGTAAAATTTTCCAGCATGGAATATAAATTTGAATCAGGGGGTTCCACTCCATTCCAAATTTGCGTTTGAACTCATACGTACTGTACCCATGAAAACATCAGAAGTCTGACTTACCTGTGCGAAATAATTCCATTTTTTACAATCAGTTTGAACTCATACGTACTGTACAGGAGTAGCTATGTAGCTTTCATAACCATGAAAACATCAGAAGTCTGACTTACGCCTGGGAGCCACAGTGAAGGGCATAAAGTTCTCAAAAAAAAAAAAACAACACAACAAAAAGTAAGCAAATGCAGCACAAATACAACGTATGGCGTACAATCGCGAATGTAAACAAAGACGTCTTCCAGATTCCAGATTTTCTTTTTCTACTTCCTAAATCATACACACTACAAATGGTCATTGGTCCTCAGAAAGTGTTGAGCCGCGGCCCAATCTGGCTTTTAGAGGCAGAGCCAATGATGGAGGCTTTATTTGAAAATATTTTCCTTTTTCAGTAAATGTGTAAATATTGAAATAACGCAACCGTTAACCGCGGTAAACCTTTATCGATAACGCTCCGCTTGAAAGCTAAATTTGATCGTAACTTGCACGATCCGACACATTAAGGCCTCGTGAAGGAATCTCACTGAGACAGATTGCATTAGGAGTAAACGCTAATTCCAGGGGAAACGCGAACGATACACGCGTGTTTCATGCGCGGTCTGAAACGGAGAATACGTGGATCCATCTGTTTCTCTTTTCTTCTAATTTTTACAAGACAGGAAATTATCACAGGATACCATTTGCAGGAGGCAACAAAAACAAACAGTCATTTGATTTGTCAGAAATGTCTCTCCTAAAAGCCCATTAATGGATAACTAGGAAATTTCAGAGCAGAAAAAAAAAACCATCCCAGCCTTTATCTCCCCTGGCTTTAAGGGAAAGAAGAATGAAGAAGAAGAAGAGCGCCGCAGCAGTCGAGCGTTCTGTTGCACAACTCACAAATCATCCATTTTACCACCTGAAGTGCCTATTAGAGTGTGTGCATTCATCAGCCAAAGGGGCCAATTGTGGATTGTAGATTTTGGACTCAGTTATGAAGACAAGTCAACTACTACCTTATCCCCACTCTGAAAACGTGCTTCTACGTCCATACATCATATCGATCGATGGGTGATATTATTCCACTCATTTGCAGGGAGACTTGCTTTTATTCATATGTCACTTTACAGCGGACATTTTGTGTGGGATGTGAAGTAGCACACTGTGCCACAGTTGTTCACTAACACCACACATTATGTTGGGTTTTACTTAGAAAGCCATAGACTCTGAACGTATTTTATGCAAATGTCCTGTGATAAGTGATTATTTCCTGTCTTGACATCGAGATTGATTCGTTTTAAGAATTGAAAGCTGATGTGTGGGGTTTTTTTTATTCACGATTGACATGGAACTTTTCATTTTTATAAAAACTCAACAGGGAATTAGCTAAGTTGAGTCATTTCTTATAGTTGAGCCTCTATTGAAAATCATTCACAGTGGGAAATGTCTTTGGCACACATCAAGCAGAGCTGCAGTACATCACCACTTATGTGTGTCTGACAAATGGTGAACAATAGTCAGATAAGAGACTGCTTTGTTCCATTTTTTTTTCCACACGTGCAGGTGTCAGAACCAGAACTGGACCACTAGGATGCAGTAACTATGACAATCTGGACACGGTCAGCTCCGTACTGGTGCACAGTCCAGAAAACAAAGTTCAACTACAAGGTAAATTACCTCCATAATCTACATTTGTCCTTATCACCTCTTCTTGTGTATAGAACACTGCTGTTACTGTAAAGACCCAGTGAAAAAACAACATGTTTTGGTTGACATAATATACATACATTTGTCCAAAGTAGCGGACAACAGTACAACATTGTTTTCCAGTGTGAAATATTAAGCAAAAAAGCATGTACGAGAGTAATTTGGTAAAATATAATAACATATAAATAAATATCACATGTAGGTTTTCCATTGTTTTTGCATTAACTTTAGCTTTTCCTCTGAACCTTTTGGGATTCTTTCCATTTTGATTCTTTAGAGCATATGTGTCAAACTCAAGACTGGTATTCTTTTTTGGACCACATGGTTTTAATTCCATAGATAATTTTTTTTTTTGCCTTTTTACCCTCCTCGACAAGAACAGATTAATTTGTGATTTACCTTGAGCTAACCGTATACAGTGTGTGTGTTAATCAAAGTAAAAGTCCAAGACTCCAAGCTTATTTAGTCAATAAAGAAAATAAACTTCCCTCCAAAAGCAACAGGTGAACAGTGGTAGAGTTGACAAGAATTTACTGGGGACTGACCTGATCTTGTTTTTCATGGTGCACAGGGCTGCAGGTCATCCTGCCCAGATATTTACAAAGCCGCTTCATTCAGGCAGCTCTGGGCTACATCGGCTGCAAATCCGAGGGCCGGTTTGTTTGCCAGAACGGCGACTGCTGGTGTAAGTGCAGCACATCCTTTCCTCAGTGCAACTGTCCTCACTTTGATCTGGACACTCTGCAGAACAACCTCCTGCGCATCAGAGACTCCTGGAGGCTGAGCAACCAAGAGTTTGAAGAATCTGGTGAGTGAGACGGGTCACAATTCACAACGACACTTAAAAATGCCACATGTCAACTTGTATTTGATTTCATTTTTTTTTTTAAATATGGAACGTGACATTATATCCAAGACAACTGAACACAAAAACCCTGCTTGTCAATGGTGATTTTTCCAAGCCAAACACCGACAGCTGCTCGCGAGTAAATCACGAGTGCTGTCAGTCATTCTGTCACTTCAAATGATGTTTCTGACTGCACCTAGATGGTCAGGGTCACGGTGGACGGGAACATGAACATCAGACATTTTAATAACATCAATTTGTATGTGCCACAATAAACCGAAGGACCTCAAGGGGAATCAAAAGCAGGGTGAAAGGCCTTAGGTTTTAACACCCATCACTTGGAGTCAGCAGGAGAGACTGACACCACTCATGTTCCTATCTGCAAATGTCAAACGCACTTTGTTACTGTGCAGAGAGCAAAAATAAAATAAAAAATAGGGATAATATTTGTGGCGCTTTGGCCCAGAGGCAATGTCTCTGTCATTGGTGTGGAACTCCAGGGTTCACCTCCTGGGCAAGTTCGAATCCCGGTTAGGGCGGTTGGTACCTTCCAGTGGACTCACCACCCGCAGGAAGGTTTGGTACGGTGCAATGTGATTTGGGTGGCGACTGCCGCCCCCGCAACCCGGTAACGGATAAGCGGATGAAAATGGATGGATGGATGGGATAATATTTATGAGGTAGACACATGTGACAGGCGTCAAATGTCTGGAATTTACATTATTTATTATTATTAATTTTTAATAGAATAACAAGCTTAATTTAGTGTTAATTTAACTATAGGGGGTTTACATAACGTACAGAGCTTCAATTAAAAAGTCATTTTTAAAAGCGTTATTTAAAAGTTGTTGTGTTTTTGTTTTTTAGTTGTTGTTTTTTTTTTTGCATTATCTAACAATTTAATTTACCCCAACAGGTGTAAAAACTATTGTCAGTTTAGTAAATAATAAAAGCAATAAAAGTCAATAAAAGCAATACAATTCTCTACGTACAGCACGTCGGAATTCTGTTACTTCAGCGCTACGAAACATTACCAACGTCACTCACCTACGCTAAAATATAACGTAACGACATAATGTACGAGTTAAAAACATCTCACTTACGCTAGGGAGTCATAACGAAGGGCGAATAGGACAGTCCAACGTATGGTAAATAACTAGAATGTAAATAAAGCCGTTTCCGGTCAGTCTGTCGTTGTCTTTGCTCGTCGTGCGTCTCGTATTGCGCAGCAATTACGCAATTTGCGCACGTCACTCAGAAGGGACCACCTGCGCAATCGTGGTAATTATTAGTTGACACCTAAAGCTCTGGTACGTTAAAATACTTTCTGTTTTTAGTAGTGCATACTCTATTTACCTCTGTCCTTTGAAGCAATATATATATTTATGCATAAGTGCACATTTTAAGAGCTTGAAATGGTAACACGCTGTAGTTTTCGGTTTTAAAGATGGGCTATAACGACCGTGAATGCACTCTTAAAGAGTTTACTTGTCTTTATTGCCAATTATGCAACATTCCGAGCAAACATTTGCATTTAATCTCTAAAAGTGCGCCGGGAGAAGCAGAGAGAATACTGCTGTTTTGTCGGAAAGACAGGAAGTGGTTTTGTCACAGGCTAATGCAGAGTTTAATAAAAATTGCTGTTTTTTTTTTGTTTGTTTGTTTTTTTTTTCTGGCTTGTATTCATGACAATATTCAGTATAATTGCGAGCCTACTGTTTATTGTCAATATAGTGAATTCTTCAGAGTTTTTGTGTGTGTATTTTTGGGTAACTTTTAGGTTAATTGGTCGAAAGACAGTCATTTGAACACCCTTTAGTTACTGTAACAATATTGATGGTGTTTTTAATTAATTTTGTATTTTAAACTGTTCCAGGCTAATGCAGAGTTTAATATTTTAGGTTAATTGGTCGAAAGACAGTCATTTGAACATCCTTTAGTTACTGTAACAATATTGATGGTGTTTTTAATTAATTTTGTATTTTAAACTGTTCCATAATTTTAAGTGAATTTTAAGTAATTTTAAGTAAATTTAAAGTTTGGACACAGCCCTGCTATTGTCTGACTGTTTTTTTAATAATAATAATTTCATAACTATGTGGTTTTCTTCCACCAGAGGAGTACTGTTTTTTTGTTTGTTTTTTTCTGGTTTGTATTCATGGCAATATTCAGTATAATTGCGAGCCTACTGTTTATTGTCAATATAGTGAATTCTTCAGAGTTTTTTTGCGTGTATTTTTGGGTAACTTTTAGGTTAATTGGTTGAAAGACAGTCATTTGAACATCCTTTAGTTACTGTAACAATATTGATGGTGTTTTTAATTAATTTTGTATTTTAAACTGTTCCATAATTTTAAGTGAATTTTAAGTAATTTTAAGTAAATTTAAAGTTTGGACACAGCCCTGCTATTGTCTGACTGTTTTTTTAATAATAATAATTTCATAACTATGTGGTTTTCTTCCACCAGAGGAGTTCCAAAACTTTATCGAGAAACTGCCACGCCATTACGCCGTCAACACATCTGCCGTCGAACAGTTGTGGAGGACAGATGCCAGGCTGCTCCACCGCTACAAGCAATTGGTGTCCAGGAGCGGCCAGCTTTTCACCAAGGCTCGTCGTACCGCTAACAAGCTCTTCAGCCTCAGCAAGAGGTGCAGAAAACAGCCCGAAATAGTCCTGCAAAGGCCAAGGTATCATCGAAAAACAAGAACAAAACGGAGGAGTATTTATACTTCAGCCCGTTAACCCAAGGTGCTCCCAAAAACTTATAATTATGAGAATGATTTATGCGGCAGTCAGTGGGGGAAAAAGGCAGCGAAGTATGACGGTGTTATTAGAAGGCACTTGAGAGCAGAGAGAGATTTGGGGGGAGGTGAAAAGTGCTGACAGGAGGGAATATTCCTCCTCCAAAAGACAAACCAGATCATGTTTGGCCAAACAGACACATCTCACCACGTCTGCAGGTTTAGAATGAATCACGATCGATCCCGAGTTTTCAAGTTCACATCCAGGAATGAAAGCAGCCCCGGACATGACAGTAATACACTTCCCTCAGCTCATATCTATTCCAGTATTTCTTTTTACTGTTATTGCGGGCCGTATCGGCGTAGCAGCTTCCACCTGCCCGCTTTATTTCTGCAGCCTATCAGAGTCCAATGTGGTCATAAGTTGTCTCAGATTTATGCCCCTCTTATGAACACTCCATGTTGATAGCTATTTCTGGCAGGGAAATTAACTAAATGACACAATCCATCAGTGTGCTAGTCAGATGCTAGGCTTTGCCTCCTCAGTCTACAAAGCAATTACATTTCTTTATCGCCCCCTTCCCTCTTGTAAAAAAAATAAATCCAGTAATGGTTTACACTGGCCGGGCTTGCTTTATTCATTTTCCCTTTGCGTGTTTTTTTTTTTATTAGATTTACTTTTCAATTCATATCCTGTATTCCCTGCTTGATAGAAAACAATGAATTCATTTGTTCAAAAAAGAAAAAAAAGAAAAGAAAGAAAGTGTCATTTGTATTGAACATTGAAAGGATAAAGAAGAAAAGGAACATAAGAACAGTCAAAATGTTACTCTTAACTGCAGGGAGGACACGGCAGGGAGTGAGTGGGAGGGCGGAGGGGCATGCGGGGGAGCAAGATGCCTGAGATTCATTTGTAAATTTTGAAAGCTCAAATCATCTGCTAACATCTTTTGGACTGGTCGTCTGGTATCAGCCGTTACTGCGGATCGGTAAATCATTTACCATCATTAAATTTTCAAAATAACTTTATTAACTAAACTTTATTCTGACTCCCACATCATTAAATTTTTCAACATAACTTTATTAACTAAACTTTATTCTGTTCGTATCAGAGTCTTTAAATGAAAAAGTAAAGGGATATGACTGGATTCTTTTTAAATAAAGTAAATTAGTAACTGCGGCCCGGTACCAAATTACCTACGGACCGCCACCGGTCCCCGAACCAGGGGTTGGGTACCCGTCCTAAATAATAAAATCATAATTTACAATCAAAGTATACCATTAGGATTGAGCATTAAAATAGAAGCCTAATTTTGACGGTTTACTGTTAAATTGAAAATTTTTGTTGAAAAAATTCTTATAAAAAATTAAGTTAGTTTTGCTGTTGGCAAGCAACTGAACAAATGTATTTATACACTGCTTTGGCCGACACCAAACTAACCTACAAAATAACAAGAATCAATCTTAAGGAAGTCGTGTGTGTGTGTGTGTTTCTAGCATACCACACAACAGTTGTCAACAGCTGTCCAAAATGTTTTTAAATGTGGAAAAAGCAATAGTCATACCTACCAGTCTGGCACCACGGGCACTTCCTGTTCCTGTAGGTAATGGTCGGGCATGAGCCACTAAAAAGAGTAAGGAAAGCAAACTTTGGAGAAGAATAATGTGAAAATGTGCCAGAGGAGGTATGAAGTATAGGATTTTACCCTCTGCAACTTTTCTCATAACTCATGTATCGGGCATTGATTTAGCTCTGCGCCGTACTGTACCCAGGCAACTGCAAAAGAGAGCGAGAATTCCAGGAGAAAATTAGGGAGGTTGTCTGTATCAGATGTTAAATCTACCATTTCTTGTCGGGCTTTATTGTATTTTTTTCCCCCCACTTTAATGAATCACAATTTACAAAAATTGATCTCAGGTTCTATGAGAGAGGCCATAATCTCCTCAGGATAGTGTTACCCAGCATTACAAATTGAGTTAAAAGATGATTTTTTTTCTTTTCAGCACTCAAGGTCTTTGACTGATGTCTAGTGAAGCTCCCTCTATTGCTATACACATTCGGTGGTTGGTCCAGATTCATCGAGTTTAGGAGTCATTTGAAAGGCGGTCGCAGATGCTAATGAAGCAGAATGTGAATACTGTTCTCACTTCTGTCTCTTTGAATAATCACATTTAATAATAATTATTAAATGTCACATTGTAAACTGGACTAGCTTCCCAGCTTCGCCAATCCTGCCTTACAGAGTGCAGTTTAATACACGAGAGTCAAAGTAAGATCCCCATCGCAGATGGAGGATTAAGCTATTTCAAATACTCATTCGGATCTGACCGTGCTTCTGTAACTGGGTTTGATGCTGGATCAAAAGAATTAAGGCTGAAAAGGAAATCATCTTAGATGAAAACATTCGTTTAATTGGACGGTCACACACTCATGAAAGGAGCCTAAAAATGACAGCCAGGACACAGTGTAGCAATTATAATTACCACATTTTTTCACCACTTGTTCTTTTTTCTTTCTTCTTTTTTTCTTCCATTAGGTCTCTGCACTTCTGGTTGAACTACGCCCTCTCCATTCTATACTGCAGCGAAAACAACCAGGTCGGTGTTTACAGTGAGGTGAGCCGCAGCTGTTTCTGTCCCTTCACTTACCCTTCCTGTCAAGGCGTCATTCCCTGCTCTCTGGGCGACGGCGTTCTCTGTGCCTCCTGCTCCGCCGACAACCGTACGCGCTGCGCCGCCTGTAACCCCGGTTTCGCCCTCACCCAGGGCATCTGCAGGCCTGCGGTTCCTGACCCGACTGACCCCTATCTGGGCATAGAGAGCGACCGAGACCTGCAGGATCTGGAGCTGCGCTACCTCCTCCAACGGTGCGACCCGCGCATCTATCTGCACGCGGTATTCGTGAGCAACGACGTACGCATAAACGCGTGGTTCGACCCGTCCTGGAGGAAAAGGATGTTGCTCACGTTGAAGAGCAATCGGTCGAAGTCCAACCGCGTTCACATTCTTCTCGGACTCTCGCTACAGTTTTGCCTCACGAGGAACAGCACCGTGGAGCCGGCGCTGTCCCTCTTTGTTAATCCCTTCGGAGGCAGCCATTCAGAAAGCTGGACCATGCCTATTGGCCAGCATGGATATCCCGACTGGGAGCGGACCAAGCTGGATGTCCCCATGGACTGCTACAACTGGACACTGACTCTCGGAAACAGATGGAAGAGCTTTTTCGAGACGGTCCACTTTTACCTGAGGAGTCGTTTAAGAGACTCCGGCGGAGCAACGGGTGGCAGCAGGAACGCAACGGCGTACGACGAGCCTCTGGACGACGCCGAGCCGTCCAGCAACGTCGGCTACATGAAAATGAACAGCATGCAGCTGTTCGGATACAGCGTGCACTTTGACCCCGAGGCCATCCAGGACCTGATTCTGCAGATAGACTACCCGTACACTCAGGGATCTCAGGATTCGGCCCTGCTGCAGCTGGTGGAGCTGCGTCACAGGGTAAACCGCCTCTCGCCACCGGGGGCGCCGCCCGTGGATCTGTTTGCCTGTCTGCTCCGTCACAGGCTTAAACTCTCTGGCGCGGATGTGACCAGGATACTCACTGCTCTGCAGGCTTTCGGCGCCAGACAGTCGAGCCGAGCGCAGTACGAGGCTAACAAACTGTGCAGCTAAACGGACGCGTTTTGATGTTTTGTATTTTTCATTTGTCCCGGACGGGTCGTTTTAATCGCTGTCGTACGGATTTACTTGTGCCCAAGTGTGTGTGGTGAACTGGTCCAAGCTCTGTTGTACATATTGCACACTTTCAATTAAATTCGGTGTTTTATAAATTCAGTGGAGTTTTGTGAACGGACCCTTATGTTTCCAGACTCGTTTCGAACAGTTTCTCCATAAAAGGTAGCGAACGAGATTTAGGTTTTTACCGATCTCTACGTTGTTTTTGGTCTTTGCCTGATTTCTAAAGAGTTGCGATGGTTTTCGTAGCTTAGAAGTTGTTTGTTTTCTGTTTCCTTGTAATTTCGACAAAATCCAAACCAGAAAGCCTTCAGAGTTTGACCTGGACGTTTACAACGCATCTCATTGCACAGTCACAGCATCGTCTTCGTTGGGGGCGGGGGGTGGGGGGGGTGGTTTCTGCCCATCTGGAGCGCCGGTGCACAAGGTCTCCATTGTTTTTTTTGAGGGAACAGCCTTGGCAGCGTTTTACGAAGTACGTAGTGAGAGAGAGAGAGAGCAGCGTTCGGGGGGCGGGGGGGCAGTCTTCCTACTCCGTCCCTGTCCGCCATTCACACTTACTGTGATAGATGAGAAAGCGAAACACACAGACATGCTCAGCATCACACAACAGTAAGCTGGATATCAGGGACAAGAATAGTAGCCTTGTCCGGCACCAGAGCAAGTGAAATCCTCACAAGAGTGACTGGAGTTAAAAAAAAAAAGGGGGATATCAGCTCTAATCCCCCGAGGCCTGTCAGCGGCGTAGCTGCGGCTAGCAGCGTGGCAAAGCTTTAGATTAGACCGGCATCTAAAGAGCCTGTGGTCAGGGCCGAGCTTCGTCCAGATTCAAACCGGACGCATTTGTCGTGAGATTAGAGCCCGACACAATTTACCGTGACGCTATCGCTCAGGGTGAACGAATGTGAAGAGGTCGTTGATGCAGTTCCGTAGCCTTCTGCATACAAGCGCTTCAATGACACATCTGCCAGTTTTAGATTACTGTAAGAAACCCTTATGGTGCAGTGTGAACAGTAAAAACGCTGTCTAATTAGTTGGATAAGACGGAGATTTGCTTAGGTTTGCTTACACTGCACTAACAACATTGATTTTACAATAAATCTTTTAAAGTTTTACACAGGTTTTTTTTTTTTTTTTGGTGCTCCAGTAGGTGTGAATTTACTCCGTCGGGTCATCGCACTCTAAATCAAATCGAGCTTCGGTAACAGTTTCCATTAAACCAGTGTTTCAGATGGACGACTCTCCTCGTCCCGACGTCCAATCACAGCTGGAGTTTGTTTTACTGTACTTACAGAAGTATATCTAACTCCCGTGCAGTACAGTTGATGTGTACAGCTATTTTTGGTTGACACACTGGCTACAACTACCTAACTCAATGTTTTTGAACCTTGGGTTCCCGACCCCATGAGGGGTCGCCTGGAATTCAAATTGGGTCGACTGAAATATCTAGTATTTTCTTAAGTACTGCTTTAAGGTATTGGTTTAATTACAGTTTTAAAAAACTCCGCTGCTGCTATGCTATGCTATGCTATGCTATGCTATGCTGCCAAGTTAATAAGGGTTGGCTAACAGCCAAGTGCAGTTCGGTGTTTTTAATAGTTTTGTAGTATACGTCTGTACAGAAATATACTCACAGCCGGACAGCGCAGTCGAGTGTAGTAGTATCAGGTACACGTTAATCTTCCTGAAGTATCTCTAACTGCATGGTCTGCGCAACAAACAATGTAATTCCTTTTTACATTTTCGTCAAAACAACTGCCAAAAGAAAAACTGTCCTCTTCGGTCTCTATCACAGTGAGCTTACGTACTCTTTATTTCCCATTTCTGCTGCCCGGAAGATATTTTTAAAAATGTACATGCCGCAAGTGTAGCTTCAGCAATAACAAATAAACAGATTCCAGCTGGGTTTTAGTCGACGGCAAAGAAAATGCGTATCAGTGGTATGTCAAGTCTGGATCAAGTCCCGGCGGAGGGTTAATAACTTTAATTAAAAAGGTGAGCATCTGGTGTGATTTTTAAAAATCCTTTTAACAGGCAAACAGTCTGCATCTGGGAGTGAAATAACAGCTTGGTGTTGTTGGAGGCCGTCCAGTTTGCTGCAGGGACAAGTCCGATTCGGTGGAAAAAGACGGAGAATGTTAAGAGCACTTGGCTCAGCGGGCAGGATTTAGTAACGGAGCGACGCGCCCGCCTGCCTTTCTTTTTGCACATTTCGTAAGAGTCAATGTCGTTCGGCCCCTAATTGCATATCTGTCATAGGTTAATGGACGAGCACTTTGAGAGAGGCGCTGCATTAGCATATTCCGGCGGGGAGCAATTACATGAAAAATACCGTACTGCATTAAGCAGCAACTCCGAGGAAGCACAAACACTTCTGAACACTCAATCATAGAGAATTATAAAATTAGACATCAGCAATACAGCGCTGATTTAAACCAAGAGGAGGCGCACAATGCAAACATAGGCTTATTCGCCAACATGTGGCAAGAGTGGATTCAAATACTGAAAACGTTTTAGATCAACAACAAGAATAAATGTGTCAAAGACTGTAATTAGCAGCACTTGACGCTAAGGTTACGTGACTTTACCTCAGTGTACCTCAGAGTTTTTACCTTCGAGACAGACGATACAGTAGCGGCTAATGGCGGCATGCGCAGAGGAGGAGGAGGGAGGGAGTGAAGAGAGTCGGCCCGTACGTAGATACTTGATTCCGTAGTGTACCTTACACGCACTCTAGGTAACTTAGAATTAACTTAACTTACGTCATTTTTTTTTTCGATTTGTATTCTTTCTTTAGCAGGCACCGCGTTCTTATTTATCGACAATTTCATGCTTTATTTCCACGGCCGTCGTGCGTTTCTTCTTCTCACTACCATCCTTACCGCTCACTATCTTAGGACTCATTACTATGATGAAGAATAATGCACAAAATAGAGAGAGAATCACGTAGGGATGCGTACGAGTGAGGCGGCGTGGGCTAATCCGAGTCATCGGCTCGGCCACCTAGCGTCGGCGTCTGTAAGCGTGCTCGTATCTCAAATCTTTACTCGTATCTCGAAGGAAAAATTTGCTTGAAGGATTGCTGGTATCTCGGAATACTTGTGGGAGAGATGTTCGTATCTCAAGGTATTACTGTATTAGTTGTGAATTATGTTCTTGACGATCCCACCGATGCTAATTAACACGCTAAGTGCTATTTCAAAGCTAGCTCAGGCCACAGCCACATTCATCACATGTACTGTAGGTGGAGGTTTAAAAAAAAAAAAATGTAATTTTGGTAATTGCACTTCATGATTCTTTTATTTAAAAAAAAAAAACGTAATTTTGGTAATTGCACTTCATGATTGTGTATATTGTTGTAAGACGTGGTCCTGAGGACTGCGGTATAAAACGGTATCAGTACTGAAGCAGGGTAAGGCAGCCTGTCAGGTGACTAGCAGGTGGCAAACGCAGAACAGACAAATATCCTTGGGAGGGCACCGAAAATGTTGCTGCAGGACGAGCAGACTGTGACCAACTCCTGGATGACAGACAAACTGAGAAAAACACAGAGAAGGGATGAGATTGAATACTGATTCAGGATGAGTGAACGCTGCAGGCGAAGGACTGCGAAATCCAGCAGCAACAAACAAAGTTACATTTCTGAATTACAGAGAGAACAGAAAGAGACGGTGGGAATGAGGAGGCCATTACCACAGATGTGATTGGAACAAAGGGTGGTTGCCTGCTTAGGTTTTTGGAGAAAATATCAATGAATAAGATTAGTCTGGGCGTCTGAACGTAACTATTTCGAAAAGAAATGTGCAAACTACTCTGCATAAAATGCTCTTCCTGGACCAGGGATCGCAAACTTTTTGCAAACTTTTTGTTTTCCTAGATCAGGCGCGGGGGAACTTTGTGACTCGCGTTCCGCAGTTGTCGTAAAAGTGAACACGGGGAGCAGATAGGAGCAGATAGATGGAGTGTTCGTGTGAACTACGCCACCTATTGTTGAAACGTGGGTACTGCAGGAGTACAATGATAATATAAATAAAAATATATATAATTTGGAAAAGTTTGGCGGGCTGGATCACAAAGCCGAACGGGCCGCATCTGGCCCGCGCGCCTTAGTTTGCACATGCCTGTCCTAGAGCTAATTTTACACACATTTACAATATGTTAGTGTCCACATATCACATTTAGTATTAGAACATATCTGCAGTGTTATTATTATTATTATGACTATTATTATTATTGTTGTTATTATTGCATCCCCTGTTACTCTTTGCCGCCCTCTAGGGGAGGTGCGCCCTACCTATTGACAGTTTTCGTCTAAAAAGCCAGGATTATCTGATCAGCTTTGGTCAGAATTCAGGATTAGAAAAATATTTCTTATTTAGAGACCACATCTTTGTTGAATGGAAAATTCCATAAATTTTCCATTCACCGGAACTCACAGAAATGAATGTTGATGATCACAGGTAAAGGTCATTCTGACATTTCAAACCCCTGTTGCCTCCTCATATTAAATCCGTTGAAACGGCACCGGAACATATTTTATGTTTTAAGTCGAAGAAATAAATGTGTGGGTAGAACGGAAATTCTTGCTCAGCTCTTTTGAAGCTCAAAACAAACAGCGTGGGCTCAAGAGGCCGGATAACGCGTGGTACGAAGACGAAGTAGACGCACTTATGTGGGGCTGAAACATGATTACAGCCGTGTGTCAAGCCCTCTCGTACCAAACACACTGTCACACAAACAGACTGGCTGAGTAATAAGCCGGAGCACCGGCGCGACAGTCGTGCATGTCTCGGCGGGAACATGACTTAGACGGATGTGCGTCTGCCTAACTAGCACGCCGTTGATGGGCGGCGTGGGTTCCATGAAGGAGAGGACTTTATGGAAAGGACGTCCTCACGGGAGACATCGGGGGGGGAAATTACAGACGACACGTGACGTCAGCCCAGGCAGCTTGATTTAAACGTCAGAAGGGAGAATTCACCGCGATGCTAAATGCAGAGCAACGGTGCAGGGCGCAGATTATTGATCGCTGTGTTTGTGCCATAACGTCGTGTAATTTCTCGTGACATTTGCGAGCAAATTGGCTGGAGAGTCGATGCGTCTCCC